TTGATAACAACATCCTATTGGACTTCTGAGGCTGAGCAACGTGGTTTCATGGCCCTGTGATGTCACCGCCTTCACTCATGTCTTTGTTTTGCCCTTTGTTTTGTCTGAATGTTGCCATTTGCCCTAATGTGTCTTTTCCTCTTTTTATTTTATTTAGTTAGAAACTGTGGAGTACTCACTTTTAAGCCAGAAAAGGAATTAGATTAGTCACTCTTTATCTTATCAGAAACTGTAGACTACTCACTATTTCGATGCAGAGACCAGAAGCCCAGAGACGCTTTTGGATCGAGACTACTTTTTTAGACTCCTGTTCTCCCAACCCAGAAAAGGAATTAGACCAGAGGATACTGAGGAACCCTGAACAGGATCACCGAGTTTACATACTTTAGATCAACATTAGATTTTTTTTCTTCTTTTGCTCTTTCCTTTGGTTTGTTATTTTGTTTGTATTTCCTTTTAATTCCTGTAAAGCACTTTGTGTTGCCTTGTTGCTGAAAATGTGCTATATAAATAAAATTACCTTTTGTGTGTTCAGGTTGTCGTTGCTGCAGCGGTTTGAAAGCAGTGTAACGGATCATCTGAAGCAACTGGAAGAGAACTCCATCAGTCTGAACTCCATGGATTCTGAGATTCTGGTATGAGACAGGTTGCTGGTTCTGAACTGGTGTGACTGGTTGTGTCCCACTGATGACCACTTCCTGTTTGTCCTGCAGACATTCTTCCACTCTGAGATGGAGCAGCTCAGTTCGTTCTGTCAGGAACATCTGAAGAAGTGAGTCTGATGGGTTCTGGTCCAGTTCACCCTGCTGCAACCACATGATCCGCTGGGCCGGAGTAGAACCGTGGGTTGTGATGTTTGGAGTGGACCCCATGTCGGGTCCTACGGTGCTGGAGCTACGGTGGAGACCAACAGAAATGAACCGGGTTCTATATGCAAGCCGGGTTCTGACTAAAGTCTGCTTGCATGGAGAGGTTAGAGCAGTGGGTTCCACAGCCGGTTCTGGAGGCCCGACATCCTGCATGTTTCAGTTCCTCCCTGCTGGAGGCGACTTCCTCCTCAGCAGGTCGATGTTCTTCTAATGAGCCGTCATTGGATGCAGGTGAGTTAAACCATGCAGGATGCCGGGCCTCCAGGACCCACTTTGGGCCCCACTGGGTTAGAGGTTCTCCTCAGAGGTCCAGAACACATTGGGTTGATATGAGCTGTGGGTTCTGGTTCTGGTGGGTCGGGATTTTGGGTTACCTGTGTTCAGATCTTCAGTCTCTTTCTCCTCAGGTTGAAGAATCTGGACTCTGACCAGCTGAGGACACCACATTCATCCAACCACTGAAGAAGCCGCCATCGACTGGAGGAGAACCTCAGACGTTTTGGGTTCTGAGTGAAGAGGAGGAAGAGGAGGAAGGCCTCTTGGATCTTTTTGTTTCTGATTAATTTTCTCTTCTGATCCAAATAATTAAAGACTGAAACTAAATACTGCGTGATGTTGATGCTGGTGTCTGTTTCCATGGTGATGTTGGTTGCCGTGGTGCTGATCCTGGTTGCCGTGGTGATGCATGGCGTAGTGGCTACAGTCGACCACCAGAGGGAGAGCTGGTCTCTGCAGCGGAGAGGAGCCTCTATTGGGCTGTACCAACACCCTGGCAGCAGGGGGCAGCAGTAGCACCGCAGGCTGACCTGGCAGAACCAAACCGGACCGGTTTTCATCAGAACCCACAGGACATGCTGTGGACAGCGGGGATGTCCAGCTGTTGTCCTCAGCAGCTGCTGTCCTGCATGTCTCCGTGGCTCAGGAACCTGCTGGTGACCTGTGCAGGACATGAGGACGCAGCGGGACGCAGCGGGACGCAGCGGGACGCAGCGGGACGCAGCGGGACGCACCATCCCCTGAAGCAGGTCCAAAGCTGTTTGTGATTCTGCTGCTGGTCGTCAAGCAGCTCAGAGCCAAACAGACAAATCCCCAAAGAGCAGAAGAAGAAGACGACTAATGAGGCGCCGTCAGGGCGAGGCGGAGCTGCTCAGGTGTTTCACTCAGCAAACATCACACAACCTGCAGCAGCTCCTCTCTGAACCGGACCGGACTGCAGATCAGACCATGCTGCCACTGCTTCTGTGACCCGTCTCTGTGGACTTGGATGGACGAGCAGAACCGGACCTGAAGGCTAGACGGGTCGCTGATTCCCAGCAGCTACAGGTAAGTCCACTGGGACCACAGCCCCTCCGTACTGGGTCTATTTAGATTCTGTTGTGACCCATTTCCAGCTGGAAGGTTCTGATGTCCCAAACGGGTCAGAACCATAGCAGAGTCCAAATGGTTCTACTGGGTCTCTGACTGCTTTAATGTGCTGAACTGATGGCTGGTTCTGGTCCTACTGGACTCCCATCCTGACCGGTCTCATCTCTGGCCCGGTTCTGGTTCCAGTGGTTCCAGTAGAGATGGGGTGTTTAGGCGGGAAGACGGACGAAGAACGACTCGACGAAAAGGCCAAAAGAGAAGCGAACAAGAAGATTGAGAAGCAGCTGCAGAAGGAGAGACAAGCATACAAAGCAACACACCGCCTGCTGCTGCTGGGTGACACACCCGTCTGTCCGTCTGTCTGTCCACCCGTCTGTCCGTCTGTCCACCCGTCTGTCTGTCTACCTGTCTGTCCATCCAAGTGTCCAACTGTCTCTGTCCACCTGTCGTGATCTCAACAGGCCAGGCTTCATTTGTTCTCCTCTGTCCTCTCCGCCCCATTGGTCCCTCTGTCTGTCTTCCTCTCTGTCCACCTGTCCTCTCTGTGGTTGTGCAGGTGCAGGAGAATCAGGTAAAAGCACCATCGTGAAGCAGATGAGGATTCTACATGTGGACGGTTTCAACGCTGAGTGAGTCTGGGTTTGTGGGAACCGGGTCTAGACCAAACCCGTTGTCATGACCTCTGGTTTGTCCCCAGAGAGAAGCAGCAGAAGATCCAGGACATCAGGAAGAACGTGAAGGACGCCATTGTGGTGAGTCTGACTGGAGCACAGGGTCATGAAGGTCATCAGGGTCATGACGGTGTCCTGGCTCCACCAGGACCTGGTCCTCAGGTGGACATGTCTCCACCCTTGTCCTGACCGTCGGCTCCATTGGCCAATCAGCTTCTGTCTTTTTTTCAGACCATCGTGTCGGCCATGAGTGCGTTGACTCCGCCCGTCCCTCTGGGTAACCCTGGCAACCAGTTCAGGGTGGACTACATCAAGAGCATCGCTCCGCTTTCAGACTTCGAGTACACAGAGGTAAAACCACACCTTCACAGGTGAGTCATGTGAGCTGTGATGTCACTCAGGTGTGTCTGCAGCAGAGGCGGCAGGTTGGAGGGTCTGAGCGGGTTATTGATCTTTGATCAGCAGAACCTCTACTTCCCCTCAGAACCAGGTCCACTACTTTGTTTGGGTCGGATTGTTTGGTTCTGATGGTTTAGGTTAACAGTGTTTGAGTTGTTTCCTGCTCCAGTGGAAACATTGAAAGTTTCTGTTAATATTCCCTGCAGCAACAAAGGAGACCTAAGAGGAAACAGACACACACACACACACAGACAGGTGACACCCCGTCCTGGACAGGTAGACGTGTTGAAGTGCTTCAGGCTGTACCAGGAGACCTGCTTGTTTGTTGTAATGACGGTAATGACATGATGTAACCAGTTCACCGGAGACGCACACAGCTGAGAGTCGCCTGAGGCCTCATTATCCAAACAGCTCGTCTCCAAGGACCTCACTCACCAAACAAGTGTTCACTCTTCCTTTATGGTCTGCTGATTGGTTCATGAGACACTATGCTTCTCACACTGTTGTTGCTGCCATCCAATCAGGAGCCTTCACGCAGACCCAGCTGTTATAGGAGAAGACATTCTCCTCTAGAACCTCTGGGCCGTTTATATTTGCGTATCGCTGACCCATCATACCCATGGACCTTGTGGCACTTGTCATTTAGAGGCAGCCCAGATTGGCAAAGCTGGTCTTCAGGCTCTTCAAGACAGAGACCTTCATTCTCTGTCTGTTTTCTTCATTCTCCGTCGATCTTTCCTGCGATCGGGTCACAATCTTGTCACTATGTTTCTTCTGACCAACATCTGGAGACGGTCCAGGCTGGGCTGAGAACCGTCCAGATGGAGAACTCTGGCATTCAAGCATGAATCAGTGTGGTTGAGACAGAACAGACCGGGTTTAACTGGGATCTTTGGTACCAACAGGAGGTCATAAAGACAGTCTGGTCCTACTTGGTTCCACCAAAGGTGAGTTGGTTAGAAATAAGGTCCTGGTAGAAAATGAGACTCAAAGGTCCAATAAGCAAGGCTCTGGTTTAGAAGGTTGAAGGGATGAATAGATCAGAACTACAAGAAGTTTCCCCACTGGCGTCCCCAGAATGGAGTAAGCAGTCAGTCACCAGAGCATCCGATGGTCAGGAAGACCAGGGTGACTCATCAAGACCACCTCTGAACCAGGTGCTGCTGTGTCCCTCTGCAGCATGCAGGGGGCGCTCACAGCTCTCTCTCTGGCAGGACTTCTTCGAGCATACCCAGAAACTGTGGGAGGACGACGGCATCAAGGCATGCTTTGAACGCTCCAATGAATACCAGCTGATCGACTGCGCCAAGTAGTAAGGACCTTGCGCATTAAGCCCCTCCCACACTGTGATGTCACAGGTGTTTAGGAGACATCTTTAAAGCCTTTTACTGATCCTCATGTGTTCTGGGTTCCAGCTTCCTGGACCGGTTGGACTCTGTCAGGAAGACGGACTACACACCTACTGACCAGGTCAGAGACCAGCCAATCAGGCTGAAGTTTCCACTGTGGCTCCGCCTCACTCTTCTTCTTCTGCAGGACTTGCTGCGCTGCAGGGTGCTGACATCTGGGATTTTTGAGACCAGGTTTCAGGTGGACAAAGTCAACTTCCAGTAAGTTCTGGATCTGAGGTCAGAACCACCATGTTCTGAGCAGGAAATGAAAGGTGTGTGTGTGTGTCTCAGTATGTTTGATGTAGGAGGTCAGCGGGATGAGCGCAGGAAGTGGATCCAGTGCTTCAATGGTAAGAGCAGCAGCATTAATCAGGGACCAAGTGCCAGCAGAACTCAGCCCGGTTTGATTCCCTCAGATGTGACGGCCATCATCTTCGTAGCGGCCAGCAGCAGCTACAACATGGTCATCAGGGAGGACAACTCCACCAACCGTCTCAGAGAGTCCCTGGACCTGTTCAGGTCCATCTGGACCAACAGGTGCTGGTGGTTCTGAACAGCTGCCTCAGCTATCTAAGCTGTGATTGGCCGTGTTAACCTTCATGTGCTCTGTGATTGGCTGCAGGTTCCTGAAGACCATCTCTGTGATTCTGTTCCTCAACAAACAGGACGTCCTGGCTGACAAGATCTTGGCCGGGAAGTCCAAGCTGGAAGATTATTTCCCAGAGTATACCAACTACCAGGTTCCTCCTGACTGTAAGAGTGGACACGCGTGTGCTGATGGACATGTGAGCAACATGGAACGCTTCCTAACATCCATGTCTGTTTCCCAGCTGTTCCAGATGTTGGCGAAGACCCCAAAGTGACCCGAGCAAAGTTCTTCATCAGAGACGAGTTCCTGGTAAAAACCCATCGATGGTGGTCAGAACTATGATGAGTTCCCTTCAATATGTTCCCTCCAACGTGTTCCCTCTTAATGTGTTTACTCTTAGCGTGTTCCCCATTAGGACTTCACTCTAATACAGGGGTCTCAAACTCAATTTACCCAGGGCCCGCTGGAGGCAGAGTCTGGGCCGCATAAAGGAATCCACAAAAAACATTTAAAAATATCCTCAAATGTCATGAACATTTAATTATTTCTCCAATACATGAACTGCAGGCTTTGGCTTTGATGAGGGTGTGACAAAATTTAGGGTGCGTTCACACTGCAGCCTGAAGTGACCCAAATCCGATTTTTTGTCGAATCTGATTTTTTT